CCTCAGTAATAAGTTGAGATAACTGGTATGTTTCTAATATAGCTTTCAAGGTTTTAGTTGGTTGATCAGAAACAGTATTAAGCAAATTACAATTTAAATCCCCTAAGATATGCAGTTCTTTGTTTTCGTCATCAATCGATTTGATCATCTTTTCAAAATCAACAAAGAACTCAGAAGTGGAATCTGGTGGGCGATAAACAGATGCAACAATAAAACTTTTACTATTTGGTTTGCAAATCTCCAAACAGACCGCTTCGATACCCTCAGGAACCAGATCATTTCGAATTTTATAGTTAATAGAAGTACGGAGATATATACATACACCACCCCCTCGACGAGATCGATCTTTCCTGACTATATCGTAACCACTGATATTTACTAAGCCATCCGAAATGGTATTGTCTAGTCTGGTTTCATTTAAAGCAAATAAATCTAAATTTGAAAAGAGTTTAGATATGCGTAATTCCTCAACATGTTTAGGTAAGCTGGCTATATTAAGTAAAGCCATCTTAAACCCCCTAGAATTTGCACAATTAGGAAATGGGTTGGATGTAGAATTTTGAGAATTAGCACTCACATTTTCACATAGTCAATTTCTAAGTAATAATTTAAAATTGTTTTGTAATAGCAAACTACCAGAGGGATTTAAGTGTAGTCCTCTGGAATTCAGGTGAGAGTCCTTTATATTGGAGTTCTCTATAAATGCCCAACCATTTTCACAACATGAGGATTTAATCAAGGAATTTGTTTGTCTTACCCTGTCTGCAATGCCATTGACATCTTTTCTAGTAAGAATTCCAGAAACAATGACCTTGATATCAGGACACTGCTGGTAGATCGTCTGTACCAAGTTGGATACTTTATCAGCAACAACTTTTAAGTCCGTGCTACGTAGGTCATTAGTTCCTATATGCAGTATTAGTTTCTCTGGGTTTTTTCGCAGTATTGGCTTGACAAAGTCCTTAATGTCATCAACAGTCGCCCCCAGTTCCCATTTTACCCCTTCAGGACCCTCACTACTGTATATCTACCATTTGCAAATGGTCCATAGAAGTCTACTTCCACAGTTGTCCAGGGTCTGCTTGGGAGCTATAGTCATCTTTGCTGGTTCTGTGTGCTTTCAGTGTAGATTTGGCATTCAAAGCATCGTTTTACCGTGTCTGCGATCTCCAAGTTCATTCCTGGCCATCAATACTTATGTCGAATCATTACTTTGGTCTTAGATAATCCTAAGTGATTCGTGTGATTTTCGCTATTAGATTTTCTGGAGGCACGATCTTGTTCAGTCGAAGGATAACGTTTTCTGATTCGTACAGTTCTGCTTGTTTGTCCAATGTACGGCTTTAGAACCCGTTTGCATGGCATGCTTTAGATCCCGTAGCTCTGCGTCTTGTTCGGTCTTTGTTGCGATTTTCTCTAGCACGCGACTGCATGATCAGCTTGAGTCACGCTCTTACGTGTTTCTCGATTCCAGTGCTTTCGCTATCTGGCAGGGCGTGTCTGAATATGTAGTCGGTGACGTTTTCTTTCCCAGGAATATGGATCATAGTAAAGTACAAATTCTGCATCTTCATGATTAGCCTTTCAATTCTAGGTGGCAACTTGGCTTGAGGGTTGTTGAAGAGTGGTAAGAGGGGTTTGTGCATGGTCAGTTGCGAGTTGGAAATGCTTGCCTCTAGTAGGTACATCTGTAGGCGTGATTCGCATGGCCAGAAATTGTGGACATGGATTCTGAGCATGTGCGAACTTTGATAAACAAAATGGCGGATTTGTTATATATAAATCATAAGAAGTGGCGCGGTTTTTTTTAAATTTAAATTTGTTTGATAATAGCTACCTTATTCGTACTTAATTTCGCGCGAATTTAATTTCGCGATTCTCGTGATTGAAAAAAATCGCGAAATTAAAGTCGCGGGAATATAAAAACAGGCGAAATTTACACACGGGAAATTAAATATCCCGGTCAAAATCATAAATTTCCTAATAAATATGATCAACAACAACAATTACAGATCGTATATCAACATAAATAACGCATTTTTTCATAATAGATAAGATCGATCAGTGTTCTGTCTCAAATTAATATCATGGTCAGGAACAACAGGGATTGTCAATAAGGGGCTCATTCTGGCCATGTATTTCTGACATATTTGGACTCTTCTTGTGCTCAAAGTTGGTATAGTTGTGCCAAATTCAGGGCCTCTGCACATGAATCACTCTCCGAGAAAATTATCTTTAGTTTAGTGCTCGTTTTTGCACCGACTCAATTTCCTTCGATAGATAATCCGGAATGTGTTGCCAAATAGGAACGGCGTACTCAAGTAGCCGGTCCGGTCTTACTGTGCATAGGTATATTCCAGTAAATTATTTTGGTCGACCCCAGCTCTTCGCAGGACTCTTAAAGGGTATAGTTTTTTGTTAGGCTTCTTAACAATGTATTCAATATGAGGATTACATTTTTGGTCGCTATTCAAAATGACACCCAAATATTTATACGTTATCACTCGTTCAATAATATTGTCACCAATTTGGATTGGTTGGAGTAAGAAATTGGGGTTATGTAGGAAGTTTCAAGCATTTCCCTACACTTCTTAGGATTGAGCTTCATATTATGCTCATTAGCATATTCATGTATATCAGAGACTGCAAAATTAAGGAGGCTGATAGAGTTCCTAGGAATAATCTCGAGGGCTGAAGTATCAACCACGAATTTTGTACGAAGACGCTAATTAGCCAGCAAGCTATTTGTCTCCCTTGGGGTATTCTTCCCTTCAGAGTTTGTCATTGGTACGATTGAATAAAAACGCTGAGATCCAGGACGGAAAAGCAGGGTGAACCTGCAGCTTATCCAGTTCTTGTATTAAAATAGAATGATCAATTAGGTCAAAACCCAGGGACGCCGGAAGATCGATAATTGACCATTTGCGTAATAGACTAAATTTTGAACTAAACAAGTCCAGACAAAAATTTCATCACAGCTTGAAGGAGCATCACAAAATTAGTAATATTCCAAAGTTTCGTTGCAAAATGTTGTAAAATGCGGAAACTAAATCCTTGCGAAATTTGCAATTTTCAGTCATCTTAGATTACAAACGGGAAATTGACAGCCCCAAACCGTTCGAGGCTGTCAATTTCCGGTTTGTAATCTAAAATGACTGAAAATTGCAAATTTTGCAAGGCTATATTTTCCGCATTTTATAACATTTTGCAACGAAACTTTGGAATATTACTAATTTTGTGATGCTCTTTCAAGCTGTAATGAAATTTTTGTTGAGATCAAAATTTAGTCTATTACGCAAATGGTCAATTGGGGATAACAGAATAAATTATGATAGTATTACAATCCTAAAATTTGGAAATTTTTAGGTCAAGCCGGAAGGAGCATGCAGGTTTCCACCTTCACCTTCACATTAGAATGTGACATGACTGGAACAATCTATTGCCACATTTGGCCTCATATATTGTAATGTAATGAAATCATATATTGTTCAAAAGGTCATCAGCAAATACTGTATAACTAAAGTATGAGCCAAAGATGTGACAATTAGAATTTAAATTAAATTAGGTCATGCACAATCTTTCAGTTTCATTTCAATCGTTACTCAATGTCCTCTAATATTTTACAGGGCCTCCATTGATACCAGTGTTGTTACACTGAAGGGTTACACTGTTGAAATAAGGTCATATAGGCAAATTTCAATTTTCTTCAAAAATAAGTAGGACCAGAAACACCGTATAATGGCTGACTTACTATAAGTATCAATAGACAATTCCATTATACTATTATAGACTAATTTTAAAACTAGGCAAGGAGATGCAAATAAATCACCACAGCTAGAAGGAGCATATTAAAATGAGTACATTTGCAAAATTTGGTTGCGAAATGTTGTAAAATGCACTAAAATGCGGAAAATGTTATAGCCTTGCAAAGTTCGCAAATTTTGTATACTTTTGTATTGCGTGCGGAAATTGCTACCATTTTCGGCCCAAATGTGGTATATATGAATGTGGCTGCCTCGTACCCAGGCGCTATGTGCTGTTCTATGGTTTGCGCGGCCTTTGCGTGGGCCGCGTGGATTAATTTGATCCCACGCGCGCTTAATGACGTGAACAAACCAAAGCGCCTGGGTACGAGGCAGGGAATGTGGCAGGAATTTCCACACGCAATACCAGACAAGTATCAGACAAAATTTACGAACTTTGCAAGGCTACATTTTCCGCATTTTATAATATTTCGCAACCAAATTTTGCAATTTTACTCATTTAGTATGCTCTTTTGAGCTGTGGTGATTTATATTTGCATCTCCTTGCCTAGTTTTAAAATTAGTCTATAATGGGAATTGTCTATTATACTTACCATTAGTCTTACTTTTATTACAATTGATTTTTCTTCCGTTAGAGTGCGGGCTTTGTGTTTCGACACTTGTGTTTCAATAACATTAATTCGAGTCAATGTTTGGTTTTCTTTTTCTGTTGTACCAATTTGTACGTTACCTTTATACCATGTACACACTAGCTATTCTTCAGGGGCCGGTTGTATCAAGCCCGTTTAGCTTAAACGGTGATTAAGCTCAAAATAGAAAGCAAGCTTATAGATTGATTCAACAACCAAACTAAAAGTTTTGAACCTTAATAGAAAGATAATGTTTACATATTTATTTTGTAAACTAAATTCAAGAATTCCGATTCTGAAGGTTAACATTTTATTTTTATTTTTTTTTATTTATTTTTATTTATTTTTTTTTTTTTTATTTTTTAATCTGCAGAATCGGAACTCTTGAATTTAGTTTACAAAATAAATATTTCTAATGAACGAAGGTGAAAGTTTTAGAAGAAGAAATGTTTACAACTATACATATTCAGTGCAGAATATTTAAGTTGACTGATTCACGAGAGATATAAGAGTGCATGTCATCAAAGTTTGACCTATATCCACCGTTTAAGCTAAACGGGCTTGATACAACCGGCCCCAGGTTTTTTCCTTTCCGTGTTTGTATAGTCCCACGTGTGTTTTACCCCAGTGATAGAATGGGCGAAAAAACGTAAAATTTAATCTTACCTACGATGGTCAAATTAGCGGTAGCTGAGTCATTGCCAAGTTTATTCTGTGCAACGCATGTATATGGTCCTTCATCACTCTGCTTTACTTCAGATATCACTAGCGTCTTGTTATTGCTGACCTGTTTGCCATTATGGTTTATGGTATAACTTGGCTCAGGAACACCCGTAGATTCATCACATGTTATGTTGACTTCTTCACCAACTACAGCTGGGTTTGGTTCAAACGTAATTCCTGTAACGTTAGCTTTAGCTGCGAAGAAACAAAACGTCATTAATTTGTGAATAACAACCCTATAATAATAATATTATAATACATATATATATATATATATATATATATATATATATATATATATATATATATATATATATATATATATATATATATATATATATATATATATATATATATATATATATATATATATATATATATATATACACTCTAAAAGCACTCTGGTTAAATTTTCCCTGGTTAACTTAGATTATAGAAAGAATCCTATTTGGGCTAACTTAATATTCCCGGATAAATTTCCTGGCTAAATCTTTCAGTTTCATTTGAATCGTTAGCTATTTATCCTCTAATCTTTTATAGTCAGTTAAACGGTCGCACTGTATGCATGTATTTATATTTTATGGTCATATAGGAAAATTTCAATTATCAATTTTAAAAATATTATTCTACAGTTTATATCTAAGCAATAACTGCCCAACGGTTCCAAAGTCTTGCCATATATCAATTGATGCCGTTAACCGTTATAGGCTGGGTATAAATATAAATTTATTTATATAGATCCATCAATAACACCTTTCAACTATTGAATCGAGTGAGTTGCCAATAAAACCTTTAAATCCACCTTCCCATCTCCAACAATTTGAGCAAAACATATGCCTTATAGGAATGAAAGTTCACGCTCAAAAATTTAGTTACGTCAGATACACTGACATCCACGCTATAGTCACATTTTGTCCTGGGAGAATAACAAAGGCGTCGCCACCCATACATGATTTATTTTAGACCACCGTTTTTGCTGGGATTTGTATTTTGTAATTTGTTTCCATGTTGAATTCTATTCTTTTATGGATAATATGGATAATAGGCCTTAAAATATAAAGCAACGGTAACTCCGAAAATAAACATTTTAATATTCTAGCTTTCGACTAAGATTCAGTCATCATCAGGAATTTGATTGATTGATTCCTGATGACTGAACCTTAGTCGAAAGCTAGAATATCAATTTTTATTCACCGTTGTTTTATATTTTATTAAAATACTCAGTGGTTCCCGTAATAATAGGCCTTCCTGCATCTCTATCCAAACTTTTGCAACCGGCCAGTCAAAATAGTCAAATAAGTCCAAACACTATCCACGCAGTTTAATTGTGTGGCAATGTCCATTGTAGTTGTCTGAACCAATCAGAATAAAGCAATTTATTAATGCCTGAAAATTGTGCGAAATCTTGTGGTGAAAAATAGGGTAACGAGGTATAGAATATTATACAAATGACACCAGTGCACCTACCGAGTAAATCCATTTACCGAGTCTAATCCGAGTCCGAGTCAGTCCCGAGCCCGAGTCAAATGCCCGAGTCGCGTAAAAAAAGGACGAAAGTGAAGAAAATTCAGGGTAAGGGTACTAAGTCATTTTATCGACAAAGACAGTTAAACAGTGACTCGGACATTTGACTCGAACTCGGATTTGGGTCAGTCAGTTACCGACAAACTCCGAAATTGAATAAAATTCACAGTTGAATAGGGTTAGGGTCTGGAACCAAGGTAGGTTAGGGTAGGTTAGGAGTGGGATGATGGTTAGGAGGTGGGTACCAAGTCATTGAACTGCAAAGACCATTGATTAAACAATGACTCGGACATTTGACTCGGCCGGCTCGGATTTGACTCGGTTAATCGACAAACTCGACACCTACCTGCTGTAATTATAACAACAAACACATGAACATCAGATTTACTGGATCGACCCTTTGCAACAATGCTAAATCTGTATGTACCATTATACTGGATATTAACGTCCTTTAAAATCAGTGTTGAAGGCTTTCTTATTGTAAATGGCCCAGGTGAGTATTGGGTGTTGTTCTCCACATTGCCATCACTTATGATTTCGGCAAAAGTATCGCTGCCCTTTGGTAGGAATTTCCACGTTCGGACATCTAAGTCAGATACACGGACATTAAGTGTCCACGCTATTGTCACATCTGTTCCAGGGAGAACAACAAAGGTGTCACCACCAGGCGGAAGAGAAATTTGAGCTACACAAGGGAATTAATTAAATAATCTAAATTTTAAACACATTAAATTTGAAGAGCAATTTATAGGTCGTGGGTTGTTGGCCAAAATTATTTCGCTTTGTGGCACCCATGTGGGGAATACTTGGTTTGGGGTTTATAGTTGAAAGGCATATAGGTACATCACTACCAAAAAAAGTTCCCAAGCAAAACAGTTGTCCAATCCCGAGAAAATGGGTGATCAATGATTATCCTCGTAATAATTGCAAACAGCCAAACACATCTGTATTTATAAGCTTTTAGTAATTTTATTTATTAGAAATAGATTTATAGAATATCTCTGCACACTGTTTGACAAAACTTTGTGGCTTTCTTTGTGTTTGGTGGACTGCAGCTTTGTTTGGTAAAAAAACCTCGTCCGTAACCGGAACAAAAGGGAAAGGCATTTGGTTTTTGTCCAGAGGTGAACAGTGCAAGGATATCCGGCGCTGAGCAACCAATCAAATTGCACGAAAACTACTATCCACCTCCAGAGTATGTATGTAAGTAAGTAAGTAAGTGAACTTTATTTAACCACGGTAGACTCATCAGGATTTACAATAAAATAGACAAGGGACATTACAAATAACAAAATATGGAATTACATTATTAATACATGTTTTCCGAGTGCCGTGCATTATTAACTAATAATGTAGATAGGAGTAAAAATATTAAAATTATCGAATGAAGTTGCTACAAACAGCCTTGAATTTACGTAAAGAGCTAGCCTGCCGTAATTCTATAGGAAGAGAATTCCACAGTACCGCACCACTGTAACTAAAACTATTTTTCAAATAG